TATATATATATATATATATATATATATATATATATATATATATATATATATATATTCTTAATGTAGCCTAATAATATATATCTATATCTTTAAGTTATATGAAAATCGTAGCTAGCTATCTAATACTTATAAACTTAGCTAACTAGTTAGAACGACTCTTTCGTTTTCTCGTTTGGTCGGGTGTACAGCGAGAATCAGCGCAATTCAACAATTGGATTGCAACACGGTTTGTATTTTCAATTGAATGAAGGAAAATAAAGTACTGTATAGACAATCTGAATAAAAAAAAAAGTCACTGATTATGTAGCCGATGACTGGGCCATAAATAATGGTTGATTTTAACCAGTCTATAGTCTAGTCGTCACCTGGTGGTGATCATAAACACACGTCAACCGTTTGACGACAGATCTCCAATGTTACTGTATACCAGCCGTACCTTTAATTAACTTTCGATTATTGTCTCAGTAAATCACCAAGAAAAAAGAGTTGCATGTTTTGCTGATCATGTTGAACTGTCTAGCTGAATCGAATTCCACTGTACGTTCGATCGTCTGTAGGCTAGCTCATTCGTTTGTTCGTTAATTAGTTAAGTTTTTAACGACTTGATATTTGACCATCGCTGACAGTACACAGACTCGTATCATCCCGGTAACAATGGACATGTTTAGAATATATCATATTCGTTTCCTCAACATCGTCACATTGTATGTGTATATACTATCCCAAGTAGATTCATTACGGGTTTAAAGAGTTTTGGACGTGGACGCAATTCACATTGATCCCATCACTGTATGCTCATCATTGGTACAACGGTGACGTGGTAGATTCTCAGATGACGTCATTCATGGCGGATATGTCTAACTATCGCATTGGTTCAGCACGGATACGACATCTGCGAGTAAGACCAGGTAACATACAACAAGTAACATATATATTCAAAATATTTACATATATATTATCTTACTTAATCATATTCGTTTCATCTAGATCTAAATCTAATTTATATTGTTACCTATGTTTTAAGACGTATACAAACTCATATCTAATTCGGATATTCAAACTCTGCTATTCTAATCTATTCAGGTACTGGACATATATCACTGATTAGTGGTCGTTATTTTCAAATGACTACAACTTTATATAAAACCAGCATCACTATTGATTGTTTATTTGAGCAAATAAAATATTAAATTGTATCTCTCTACTAAAACTCTACAATGACGAACATTGCGTCTCACGACTGTTAACAGAAGCGCCTCAAAGCACTGCCACAAAACATAATTCAAATAGCGTGTAGTGAAAGTGGACTTGCAGTGACTGGATGGTCATGCATAATTCGAATCTCTGAGGTCACACACAACATGCGGAATATATTACTGCACACATATAAAACCTAGTATAATCAAAACGACCTACCATAGGTATGTCATGTGTGGTTTTTAAAGGAAATACACAGCTTTATTATACACCGATTAAGGAAATTAAATGATTAAAGAAACCACATTGAACATATATACACATAATTTAATTAATTCATTTAATTACACGGTTACATATATGCATTTCAAATGTAGTTTATTATAAAGCCTCCTACGATATTAAAATAATCTGTCAATCTAAATATCGTGGTATGCAGAGTAACGTATTTTCATGTGAAATTGTCATTACTGACATACATGGACTCATCGTTTTGTAAGGTTGCATCTTTGATGTTGTAATTCACAGCGTTTTTATTTCTGTTTACAAGATCTCTGTGAAGCACCGTCTCCAATGAAAGGTGTGTTATCGATTTGCGAAGTTGATTACTCTTGGGAAACAGAAGACAGGGGTTCATATGGTGAGATGTGGTCTGTCATAAATTCTACAGACAACGTTGATGATCGTGGGGCCTACTGGAGTTATCTGACCTCGGACAAACTCAACGGTCTCCCCTATTATGGACGTGATACATTGTATAGAGGGGGAGGATATGTAGCCGAGTTAGGTATGTAATTGTCTCACGGCGAATGACTAATTCCTCGATAAGGCTTATCATCTATTTTGTGGACTGAAGAGATAGTTACTAAACATTATATATATATTTTTAGGAGATACTGCCTATCATGCAATGGATGTGGTACAATACCTGTTTAATGCCACATGGTTGGACCAATACACACGTGCTGTTTTCGTGGAAGCTTCCCTTTACAATGCCAACACCAATCTATTCAGGTACTAGACATATACATTAGATGCACTTCTGGTAAACACGAATTTATTGACTGATTTATAGTGTATCACTATTACACCAGGCGTATCAAGTCAGGCACGCAGTCAGTAAACGTCCGAGATCAGACTTGGCAATGCGCGTGTAAGACCAATCACAGATCACCAAAGTTACTGCGTGACGCTGTGAGTCCCATCAGTGCACGAATAATGAATATATAAATAATACATATAACTGATCACAGGAATATTTTTTTGCAGAAAATTCTGGCATGTGACACTGTTGATTTTAAGTATTATACATTCACTGCTACATTTTGACAATCAGTGAAAAACTCTGAACTCACTAAGTACATGTACAAAGCTGAAGGGGGGGGGGGGTAAAATGATTTAACGGGAGATCGTGTACGTCTAATTATATACAAATAAATATCGATAAGATGAAAAGAAGTATGGCGGTATATGAGCCATGAACAAAGTTAAAATTAATTATTAAGAAGATAGTGTTTCAGGCTAGATTTGAAGATATGTCTACCTCTGATATTTGTCATAGAATTACGTGGTTTTGTTGCTATATATACTATTCACTCTATTCACAGCATGGTGACATTGCTGCTGGAGTACACGTCTGGAGGGGCAGTTATCGTGATACCTAAAGTATATCCCTTACGTCTTTATAACTATATCGGGACATTCGCTGTCATTGTGGTCATTTGTGAGGTTATATTTCTCGTATTCTTGGTGTATTTTCTTGTGAAGCTCATCCAGTCAATGAAGAAACAAGGAAGACAGTTTATCAAGAGTTATTGGAATATATTAGAAGTAGGTAAAATCTAAAAATACCCGAGAAAGCTTTTTTGTCGAACTGAACTGTATATCTTTCCGCTATTCCATAAATTCAACCAATCATTGCCGTTCAAAAACACAGATGTTATCGGACCCCTCACACTTATCTGTCATGCATTTAAACTTATTGAGAGGATTGTAAAAAGTGTTTCCATATTTTGTTTTGTTTTCATATTCAACTTATTAATTATTGATAATTGATAAAATAATTAAGCAGCTGCCGCATCCCACTGTAAACAGGACGTTCTATATAATGTATTGTTTTTTTGTAAAAACATTGCGGTATTTGTTTGCAGGTGATCAAGTTAGCCCTATGTATAACTGGGGTTGTTATGTATATCTATCGATTAATTTTCTGGAACCTAGCGTTGGACGAGTTGCCCTACAATTCCCAAGGTATACCATATACTATATTTTTTCAGTATTTATACATTGATTTTTATTGACATGAAAAATGGGTTTATAGTAAGATGTATTCCACCCGCTTTTTACATCAAGAAAATGAAAACCGTATATTTTCCTGGTAACTAAAGAGAATTATTGTGAGTAAGTCCTAGTACAGACTAAATATCGCCTTGTTGTATCAAAGTAATCTTATATTCAGGTGTTTGGTGTACAATAAATAGTCATGTGATTATAACAACGTATTGAACTGCTTTATTTTCAGGTTCTGGAACATTCATAAATTTTCAGCGTATTGCATTGTGGGATGAAATATTTGGATATATCATTTCCGTTATAGTCTTTGTATCTATTCTGAAGTTTCTTCGTCTTCTTCGATTTAATCGCCGCATGTCACTTCTTGGATCAACCATCAAGTACGCCTCCAAGGACTTGATATATTTCGCAGTTGTGTTCTTCGTCATTTTCTTTACCTACGGTCAATTTGGATATCTAGTCTTCGGCAGATCTGTCTACAAGTACTCTGATTTCACGCTCGCAGTTGAAACTCTCTTCACCATGATGCTAGGCAGGTTTGGATACAATGAAATTAAAGAAGCGCACGAGATCTTTGGACGGTTTTTCTTTTTTACCTTTATGCTGTTGATCTACATGGTTCTGTTCAATGTATTTGTTACGGTGCTTGTGTCCGCTTACGAAGCCGTCAAACACGATAATGACAAACAAGCGAACGAGTATGAAATGGTGGACTTTATGTGGAAGCGATTTCGAGCTTTTATAGGAGTGGGTGTGACTGTCAACCATAAACTGCTTGAAGGTAGGTGGTGATAGCAGATTATATATAGTTTTCGGATTGTCTCGTTGCTGTTGCATATCACTCGTCTATTCTTCATAATTTATTTACAAGAAAGATGACACTCAGCTAACAGTTTGTGATTCGTAATCGTAATTACATGTGACCAATATGATTGACACTATTGAGAATCGCAGCAATCAAAAAAAAAATATTTCTGCACTTCGAACATATAAGAGCGTTCATTTAAAAAATATTTGTATTCGATAACGATTATTTATCTTCACAATCTAGTTATTTCTAAAATTAAAAACGTATATTTTTTTAGAAAGCGTGACGTCATCGTCAAATAGCTCACAGACTGTCGTAAGTGAAGATCTGTGTGATCTGGATGCCTTGAGCCAGCGACTGGATTTGATATCAAAACGAATAGATTCATTAGAAATAATACCGGGCAATGTGTACCCAAGTACTTGTAAGTTGTAAATGCATTGTGTATTCACAATTCATATGCATGTGATTAAAGCGGAGAACTCGTCACCTACGCATGCGCCATAGCGTGTCGTTTTTTACAAACAACCTTTCACCCATGAGCCTTTGTGTTCTTAGCGCGAGTTGTTATCATCGCTTTGGATTCAATTCCCGCGCGTGCGCAGTTGACGACCCGCCCGCTTTAATACATTTAAAACTGTCAGTTACAACACTTCTTTTTCCCCAAATTTAGCATTTCTTTAGTGTATTAAGTGTTAAGTACTAAATACTCTCAATTGAATGTCCATGAATTATATTATAATAACGCTAATCATTTCAATCAAATAAGTTGTTATGTATAAACGATATAATTTCGAATTTCTAACTCGCTAATAAATTTTTGTCATGCAGGCCGAAAATTGGATGAAATCATGGTTCACGTTTATTCAAGGAGTATGGTGGAGGTTAGAAAAACATAATATGCTTGTGTTTAGTTTTCTCTATGAATCAAAGTAAAGTAACAATGACGACCAGGGTTAATCACCCGGATAACATTAATAACAATATAATGATTGTTAACTTAGAAATGTTAATATTGTTTATTCCCCACTTTTCCTTTGTTATTTATATGAGAGGATGCAATTGTGATTGTAAATCAATATTTGTCCTTCATTTGATCTTATAGTGATGGGTGTTTCTTATCTTTCAATTTTGATAGCCATGTTTGCCGATACATGACTGATTGATTATATTGCCAGTTTAACAACAAAAACTTGTACATATTTTAATCTTATATTGATACTGATTGGATTTATTTACATTGTGCTGAGATTCTTCATTGGTTTAGATGCCAAATTTTGTCCAAACTGTTTACTTCGATTTACAGGGTACGCATTTTAATATATGCATAATATTAATTGCACTCAACAAGATGCAGTAAAGTCAAAGTAGTGTTGTTTTATTTGACACACTGCTCATTTAAGTTTCTTTTTTTCAAATAAGATTCCAATAATTGCAGCGTAAATGTATGCATTGAAACTTGTTGCGTCGAGATAGAATAAAATACTTTATCACGTATGGTAGGCATCACCTAAATACAATTATGTTTGTATAACTGTAAAATAATGGTGATATTATATTATCTTTGAATCTATATTTATCGTAGTTTATTGTGCGTATGATGCGTAACGTGAAAAGGTCGATACTATTCGCCGAATATACGGGGTATATATATCTATAAATACACAGTGACATACTACATTTATTAGTCTATGCTGATTTAATTCACACATTCAAATATATTACATGACCTATATGACTATATGAACACGTGTAACAACTGAAAAATAAAATTTTGAACACACTAAAGTTTGTTTCGATATACCCCATAATTATGTTAATTCTACGTAATACGAAATCATCGAATGACATTAAGGTAGCGAGAAGGGAAATTTTCACTTTTTTCTTGATTTTTCAAAAATTGATAAAACGGTTACTTTAGACCTTGATACATCACCCCAGGTTTACAAAAGATCGAAATTGCGAAATAACGTTGCTCAAATTAGTGTTTTAAAACACTAGCAGAAAAGACTACAACTGCCGTTTCGTGGATATTTGCGTAGTGTTTATCTTTGGAAGGAATTAAATGATAAAATCTTATCTGTATACTCTGTTGTTGACGATTCTGATATAACGGGTGATAAGCTTCCAGTTGTAAACAATGCGTGTTTATCTAACGTCCATTGTCAGCATTATTGTCAGTCGAGACTTCGTCGGAGAAACATGGTCATACAGTACTCATTTCGCCCAACCTTCCGCTTTTACATCGACCGCTTATCGCTTAATTTCCGACCACGCGGTCTTGTCCGACCGGAAACCGACCGCATTTTAATCGCGTTTTTTTTTTCGCTCGCTCGCT